GACTTCCATTCTCTCCTTTCTGAATCATTTCTAAATTAATTTATTACCTTTTATAACCTTATATAACCATAAAAGCTAGAACAAAGCCGTCCTTTATGAGGAACTGCACAATACGCGTCTCTTCTCAAACAGAAGGTCTCCTGTGTGTGAAAAAACCTGAACAGAAAGCACTGGGTTATTTTCATGTCCTCTAAGAGCCGGCCCCAGCCTGACAGGCAGAGGAGGGAGCTTAGAGGCATAAACTCCAAGGCAATGTTTTGTTTCTTCTTTATTACTGAAGAAAGTGTTGATCAATTTAGGAAACCAAGTACGATATAAATTTTTCCGGAGCCTGTTCTGGGAGGTGGGGGAGGAACCCGTTGTGTGAATCGTCATTATTTGAGAGCCCATCGTACTTGGTGCTTTGGGCTGGCAGGAAGAACTTAGGGAGGACTTTATAAAGAGGGCCTGAGGACTTCTGTGAATAAAAAGTGATAAGAAGTAAAACCATGGGCTTTTGATAGGTGATAGATTAGACTGCTGTCAGGAACATTTCTGCCCTTGTCCACCATCTCCGTGGATGGAGCAAATTTCCTCACCAGTTGACCTTGAGCTTGGCCATGAGACTCCTTTCGGCTGATGGAATAGCACCAGACATGAAGCAAAGGGGCCTGAATTCGCTTGCATAGTTGGGCATGCTTTCTTGCAATTTCATCATCTCCAAGAGCTAAAGACAGTATGTCTGGTTAAGCCACTGGTTCTGGGGGGAAATGGGATAGGCACAGAGTTGAGCCTCCTGGCCAATGTGTGGACTGAAACAGAGCCACCACACTGAGCAGGAAATTCATGACACAAAACTAAATGCTTACTGTTACATGCCACGGAGAGGCTGACTTGGAATATCATGTAGCATTCCTATAGCAATAGCTCATTGACACAAACCATTAGTGTGAGTTCCCTCAAATGTACAAACTGGAAGACTTCAACAACATTTGGAGTGTTTTACTAATAAGGGTTAAACTACTGAAGTGAGCCAACGTTTTATTGCATTATTATTAAAGTGGAATCAAGATGAACCTACAATACCTCACCACCACCACTTTACTGACCTGTTGCTTTCAAGAGTGGGGGAGAGAATGGTGGAGATTCAGCTCTGGGATCTCACAGCCTATCTGACCTGGGCCCTGGGGCTTGTGGTGGGGATACCATGGCCCTGAGCATCTCTGTGTGTTCTTCTGGGTGTCCAAGAATGCAAGACCCTGACTGCCCTTGACCCAGGCCAGTCACCAGAGTTGTGTTCGCAGCAAGCAACCTTGAGGGATGAAGTCTCATCTTTCCTGCATGCAGCAGGTTTGGTGCTGCTTATTGCAAAGCAGTCATTTCCCCAGCTCTGGATTCCTCTCTGACCGGGTGCATTGTGCATGCAGACCTAGCTGTATCACCCCTTGGGGTTCAGGCAGCATGGGACACCAGCAGGCACCTGAACTCTGCCTACTCTTTCTCTGTGAGGAATATAGTTCCTTGTCTGTCACCCAGGAGAGACAGAATGCTGTATCTCTTGCCCACATCCATGAAACAGTCTAGATGATGGGCTTGCAACCCGTGGAAAATCTCACATCCTTCACAGCTTCTGACATGGTCACCTCCCCTGAGTGCTAACCGTCATGTGCATTGCACAGGGATGAAGTTTCTGAACACCTTCAGAGAAAAGAGGGTTTTGCTGGGTGTGGTGGCACAGGCCTATGACTCCAGAATTTAAGAGGCTGAGGCAGGAGGATTTCTGTGACTTCAGGGCCAGTCTGGGTTACATCGTGAGTCCCCAGCCTGTACTCCACAGTGAGATCCTGTTTCAAAAAAAAGAGTGCAGGCAGGGGGCGGTTCTGGAGCAACACACAGAGATAACCTGGAAAAGGGAAACTTATACCTTCTCAAATGTAAAAATTAGAAAAGACCTTTGTTGCCGGGCATGGTGGCGCATGCCTGTAATCCCAGCACTCAGGAGGCCGAGGCAGGAAGATCGCTGCAGGTTCAAGACCAGCCTGGGCTATAAAGTAAGCTCAAGGGCAACCTGAACTGCATAGTGAGACTCTGTCTCAAAAAGATCCAAAAAAAAAAAAAGACCTTTGTGATCACAGTAATTCCTAGGAGATGTATCTCCAATGGGTCACCAAATGATTTTAGTTGATTAAAAAAAATGGGAAAAATATTTTTAAAATTTAATAGCAATTGTTTCTAATATGTGTTAGAAAAATACTTTAAAAATTTTTTTTAATTCTTTTTGAGACAGGGTCTTGTTATATTGCCCAGGATAGCTTTGAACTTCTTGGTAGAAGAGATCCTTCTGCCTCAGCCTCCTGAGTAGCTGGGACTACAGGCACATACCATTAGGCCCAGCCAAAGATTTTCCTCTTAAAGGGCATATTTAAATTAAACAAGTGAACTTAAAAATGTAAATAAAACTAATATGTATATAAATTAAGCTGTAATTAACTGCAAGTAAGGGAGGTGGGGTAATGCCTGTAAATGACCTAAGCCATAAGAACTGAATGTAGGGCCAGTATATAGCTCAGTGGCATAAGCACCTGCCTGGCAAGTGCAAGATCCTGAGTTTGATTCTCAGTACCAATAAAAAAAAAAAAAAAGAACTGAATGTAATAATCTCACATAATGAAAAGAGTGGATGTCCCAGTTATCTATTACTGTGTAACAAATCATCCCACTCGTTACATAAATCAAAAACAATTTTATTCTGCTCACAGATGCTGAGGATTGGGAATGCAGACAGGGCACGTTGAGGATGACATTTCTGTTCGTGATGTTCAGGGCCTTTATCAAGGGAGACTCAGATGGCTGAGGGCTGGAATCACTTGAAGAGTCTCTCCTTCCATGTCTCGTGCATGGGCTGATGGATTCAGGGGGACTATAGACCACAGCACCTACCCAAGGCTTCTCCTTAGGGCTTGGGCTTCCTCTTAGCATGGTATCCACAGATAGTCCAACCTCTTGCATAATGACTCAGGGCTCCAGGAGCAAGTATTGCAGGGAACAAGGCAGCAATCACATGATCTTTTTGTGGTATAGTTTCTGAAATCATCTGTGTCACTTCTGCTGTACTATACTGGTCAAAACAGTCAGAAGCCCACTCAGATTTAAAAGAAAGGGGCATAGATACCACGCTTGGATGGGAAGTATAATCGTCCCTCAGTACCCATGGAAGATGCCAAAATACACACACTCAAGTCCCTTACATAAAAGACATAGTGTCTTATAGACCTTTGCAGAATGTCCCATATACTTTAAATCATCTCTAGTTTGCTTACAATATCTAATACAAGGTAAGTGCTATGTAAAAGATAGCATTGTTTGGGAATAACGACAAGGGGAAAAGTCTGCACATGTTCAGCACATGCACATTTTTTTCTCAAGTATTTTTGATCCAAAGTTGGTTGGATCCATGAGTGTGGGATACACAGATACAGAGGGCCAACTGTATATCACCGAGTTTGCAGGGCTAGAAAAGAGTGAAGTTTCCAAGCTACCTGCAGCTGGTAACTTTAAATATATGATTTAAAAAAGAAACTAGAGATTTCTATACTTAAAATGCTGCCTGACACCGATTCTAAAGTGTTCAGAGAGTTGCTTGTTAGGGTCACTTGATCCTTCCAGATTTTTTCCTACACCTGTGCCAGATACATAGGTATTTAAGTATCACTGCACACAGATGAAATAGTATACAATTTTATAACTTTAAAAAACTATAGTGTGGATGGCTCTTTATATCAGTGTCTATAAAATTACCTCTTTTAAAAGTCTTTTCATGCCGAGCATGGCAGTGCATACCTGTAACCCTAGTATTACCTGTATGCACTGCCATACCAGTACGCACTGCCTCCAGGAGGCTGAGGCAGGAGAATCTGAAATTCAAGTCCCACTTGGGCAATTTAGCAAGGCCCTGTCTCAAGGTTTAAAACAATTTTTAAAAGGCTGGGGGTGTAGCTTGGGTTCAATCCCCAGTACTTGAAAAAAAAATTATCATACAAAATTTCAAGTATATACGAAAACAGAAGGAATTTTATAAGAAAGACCCATGAGCCCATCGCCCAGCTTTAGTGATTAATAGCTTATGGCCAGTCTGACTTCATCAAATCTCATACATCATGTAATTTCATTCATAAACATTTTAGTATGCACTGGAGTGCCTCCCTCCCTCTGTCTCTGTCTCCTCTCTCTTTCCTTCCCTCCTTCCTTTCCTCCCTCTCTTAATGATAAGGGCAGTGCCTGATTGCTATCAGAAAACAGCAACATTATAGACACAGACCACATGGGAAATAAACATTGGTCTTAGCTACAACCTCTAGAGATAACAGTTATTCACATATTCTTGGTGAATATCCCTCTAGATCTCTCTTTGTGCATGTGCTAGCATATATTAATATTTTTCAAAATAAAAATAGGTACATTGTTTTGCAATAGGAATATTGTATTTAGCAATGTGCCTTAGACATAGCTACCTCAATAAAGGTTCTGGTTCTTCCTGAGACTGTGGAAAGGGGAAGGGCGAGTTCTGGGGTGACAAGTCAGGGTGCTTACTTAGAAAAAACAGCATTTGCACCCTTCCTCCCCCTACCTGCTCAGTGAGACTTTTTAGTTAAATTGGCTCATCTCAGGGTGGACAAACTATGGCTAGGTTTTGAGGGGAGTTCTGAGCTAGCTGTTTAAGGAATAGTAGGGGTGGGGGTAGAGGAAGGCAGGCCCTTTATAATTTAAGGCTGGCTGCACAGTCCCGGCAAATAACCCAGACTAGGATTCTGGACACCTAAGCTTCTTGTTGTGGTTTATATCCAGATGTCCCCCTAAAGCCTCATGAAATCAAAAGCAAGACCTTTGGAAGGTGATTTGATTATAAGGGTTTATACTTGACTTGCTGTGAAGAGGTGAAGCCTAATCGGAAGACGCGGGTCACCCTATAACCCGGAAGTTTTACCTCCCTTCCCCGGCTCCTCTCTTGCCTCTCTGCTTCCTGGATGCCATGAAGTGAGCGGCTCTGCTCCACAGCGGACCCTTCCACGAGGCCGTTTCTGCCCTGGAGCCAGCTGGCGAAGACTGAAACCTCTACAGTCGGTGAGCCAAAATGAGCCTCTCCTTTAAATTGTGGGCGTTGGGTATCCTGTCTCAGCTAGGAGAAAGGTGATTAAGACATTTCTTTTTTTGACTCTATCCTTTGTGTGCTTTATTACCATTAATTTGTTGAGACATTTCTCTTCCAGATAGATTACAAGGGCAGAGAGCTTAGTGCTTTCTGTCTCCTCCCTTTCTCGCTGCCTCCCCCTCCCCGTCCCCTCCTTCTTCCCCGTCCCCTCCTTCTTCCCCTCCCCGTCCCCTCCTTCTTCCCCGTCCCCTCCTTCTTCCCCGTCCCCTCCTTCTTC